CCAAATGTTATAATTTAAAGTAGGAGGAAAATAATTACAGCCTGAATTTTCATTCTTTTGTTTGTTTTGACAAAAAAAAGTGGAAAGATATTTAGTAGGACTAAATGAACACAGATTTCATTGTATATAATAAAAGATGTTTTTAACCTCTTTATAAATGAGAAAAGGTTATATGTTATTTGTTACATGAAGCTTTTCTCAGTATGAAATAGAAATATTTAGTAAATATTAAATTCTATTACACTATTCTTTCATGAAGTATTTTATTACCCCTACAAAATGTAGAGGGTAATGTTTTAGATAAGAAAAGTTTTCTTAGCCTGATTTCTTTCCTGAAGCAGGACTTGGGACAAAGGCTTGCGACTTGGGACAAAGGCTTGCATCATTTTAGGAAGTGATATCCTAAGGAAGAGTAGTGACAGACTGGGAAGTGTTAAACAGGAAAGACTGAAAAAACAATTTTAGGGTATGCTATTGGGTTGCTTACTCATGTGGGCAACTGCACCTTGTAGAATGAGCTTTGAACTTCAGCCCTTGAAACAAGGAAGGGATGACAATATGTTCACAGACTTTTCTAATTGGTGAAGAGGTTCCTTAGGTTTTCCTAACCACTTTTGAGTTCATGTTTGTGCTGAGATAAGAATAACTTATCGGACACTTGCTGGAGTCCTATGTTCTCTGAGAAACACTGAGGAAAAATCCAAGAGATAAGTCGTTCTGCCAAGGTGAAGTGGGATCAGGTTACACTGTGCAGCCAATTGCCATAGTAGTGAGTTAGAACTGGAGTTAAATGAAGGCAGAAGATGTGTGGCAGAAGACGAGGCATAGTTAATTACAATACAAGAAATGACCAAATTCCCTCTATTATCTTTTAAGCTACTATTGGCAGTTTCTTGGAAGTTATGTTGTTTTTCTCTCTCCTCTCATTGGCTCTTTTTTTTTTTTTCTTTTTCTTCCCTCTCACTATTTTCTCCTCTGTTTTAAACAAAATATGAGGTAGAAATAATTTTAATAGTTCTTATTGAGGGAAAGATTCATGAAACAGCTTAAAAATAAATAGATACATTGTATTAGTTTCTTAGAGCTCCCATAAGAAAGTACTGCAAACTAGGTGGCTAAAAAATACAGATATTTATTGCCTAGCAGTTCTGGAGACTAGAAGTCTGAAATCAAGGCGTCAGTAGTGCCATGCTCCATCTGATACACATAGGGAAGAATCTTTTCTTGCCTCTGCTAGCCTCCAATAGTTGTCAACAATGTTTGCAGTATTTGACATTCCTTGACTTGTGGATGGATCACTTCGATCTCTGCCTTCATTGTCACTTGGCATTCTTCCTGTGTGTCTCTCTCCTTTTCTTATAAGTACACCAACCATACTGGATTAAGGCCCACAGTATATAAATATGATTTCATATTCACTAATTACATGTACAAAGACTGTATATCTAAATAAGGTTACACTCACAGGTTCTGGAGGTTAGGAATTGAACACATTTTTGGAGGAGACATACTTCAAGCCCCAATATACATTATTTGTATAAATAATGTGATAAATCTAATCTATTATTTTGAAAATATGATTATTTCCATATTATTATATCCACAAATACATACATTGTATTTTTCATTTGAGCTTCAAAAATTCATGAGATATGCTCCATGTGTTTTTGTTTGCTGGTTATATTTTATCAGATTTATCAACCAGTGGAAATTTGAGGTTTTTCTTTAAATACAAGAATGCAAAGATCATGCTTAATTGTGTATTTGCAAACATTAAGAGAATGTGTCCTATCTTAAACTCTTTCATATTTATCTTTTTATGGGAAAAGTAGACATACTTATTTATGGTTTTCATGAATTAGGGCTCATATAGCTAAAATTGTGAGGTAAACTTTCTCTGGTGTTATACATCTTCAATAGAGAATGGGAAATAAAGTACATCCTCTAGACTGAAAACATTCTTCAATTTCCCAGGATCTCACCTATATTATGGTTTTTGGTTACTTCTTTCTCAGTGTTTCTTCCTATACTAAAGCCTATCAAAAGCTCAAATTTTTCTATATTCTGTCTACTCACTATTTACTTAGCAACTCTTTGCTCCCATGTTCTTCCCTGTGGATTCTGACAGGGCCAACAATCCAGCAATTTATTCACATCTCAAGATGTACAGTTCTTCATATCGACCTTGCCCATGTTTCATGACTAAGGTAAAACATTGATATTATTTGTTATCCATTATGGTACATTTGTTCTTTACACGAGCCTCCTCATCCTACTCCTTCCCACCAGCTAATGGCTTTAATTCTGATCATAATATTTGACCTGTCCTTTCCCATTCAGACAAATGTTGCTTGATTTCTCTATTTTATGTGCATAGCAAACACAAAAGTCAGATTTATAACTGCATTAAGTAAAAAGAAGTGTGATACTTTTAAACAAAGGAAGCTGCAGTAATAACATGCGTAGTACACCTGCCTGTCAGTAAAGATAAGCTCCAGCTGCAAGCTCAGCACACTATCAGCATCCTACAGGGCTTTTGTGTCTTTTTTAGTTTGTTTATTTGTTAACACAATAGTAATCATGGAACCGGCTTTGTACCTCAACAATGCAGCAAAGAAAGAAACTCAGAGGCTGCTTTTCTCTGGATATGACAGAATACTCATCAATAGTCTCACTCACTGGTAACTGAATCCAGTTTCTTTGTTTTTCTCAGTTGTATAGATTTCACAGAGGTATCACCATACAGTGGTTTAGATCATAGACCATTTTGTTTGAAACAGCAATTTTCACATTCTGATTGTATGACCATGGGCATGTTGTTGCAATCTTCTGTTCTTTAGCTTTTAATCTGTGGATAGAATTATTACCTATGTATGGAATTTTGGTCAAAAGAAGTAAATGAGATATTGCATGGAACATTCTTAAAATAGGGTCATGCAAATGTAAGTGCAATGTAAGTGCTGGTGATTAGTATTATGTGGAACTTGAAGGCTCCGTTTTAATTATGCTCGCCTCCTAAACACCTACTTCTTCAGTGACCATTATGCACCAAGGATGAAAATTCAATCCCCCTCCAAAAATTAGACAGAAAGTAGCAGTGACTGCAGGCAGAGTTGGCATGGGGACAAGAAGTGACATTTATACAAAGAATTAAAAAAGGGAGAATGATACATCACTGCCATGTGCCTCTGAGATACCTCCCCAAAGTCTTTTTGAATGAAGCATCAGGCCCATTGCTATGGTTGAGTCATTTAGCTGAGAAAAAAAGGTTGAAGATATTTGCCATATTAAGCATATGAGAGCGAAGCAGGCAGGCTGTCATATTTCATCATACTTTTATTTATATTTATTTCTAATTTCTCCTTCCTCAAAACGTACCATTTAGTTTCTCCAAATTATCAGGTCTTGAATATTTTTAGGCTTTTTAACCCTAATAATTTCACTCTCATTCATTAGTAAATCAATTTTATCTCTCCTCTAAATACTTAAATTCTTGACAGAATAAAATATGAATGAATAACATAACAAATTTTCCAGTGGGATTTGGCATTTGATGGGGGAGATTCTTTATCTCTTGAAGAAAAAGATGTTCGAAGCAGTTCAGGAGCAGGTCAGAGGCACTGGGAGAAAATTTTGGATAGAGGGTTTTTTACTCCATAGCTATCAGATTTGATCTCATGGTTGACTGCTAGTTCAGCCTAATCTCAACTCTATTGGAAAATATTCTTTCTTTGCTCCATAAATCCATGAAGGTATGGCATGTGCTTTTCTGAACTTAACTATCCTTTTCAGACTGAGAAATGCCAGGGTGAAGCATTCACTGTACTAGCATGGAAGATAGAAGATGGCATTCTTCCTCAGCCAAAACGTGTCACACCCTCTGCTTCAACCCTCTCTGCCTCTGCATTTCACCTAAATATTATTGATGGCTACAATACTTTATAGTAAAATATTAAGAAAATATTTTTAAACTTACTACTACACAAACAGTCTTAATGGGTGAAATTATACTGGAACTATATTTTCTGGCTCTTATTGTAAGCTTGCTGAATTTTAGCAACATGAAAAAAAGATTGGATTGTAATTAACTCCTTTGTGCTTATTTTGGCTCAGAAAACTGTAAGTGTGGCCCTTGCCACCAGAGAGCACTGTGTAGGGGCAACATCAAGTTATAATGCCAATCGACTTCACCGTAAACTCTTCCTACAAAATCCGAATACTACTTATTGCTATTATTTATAACAGGGAATTTTCTGTATCTTTTACACATGGATATTATTTAACTTATTTTAATTAATGTCTTCTGTTATTAAAACATAAATTATTGTTATATTATAATTATTGCTGGTAATAAATATTTCTAAATAAAAATGCAGTTTCATACATTTAAAAATATTAATACATAACTCAGTTTTCATGCTAAAAATCAGCTAATGTTTTGGGTAGAATTTCAAAAAGAAATACCATTTTATTTCTGAAAAATGTTATGTTTAAATTAAATAATATTTTAACATAATTTAATACACTTTAACATGGGAATGGTAGTATTTTCAATTTTGACAATGAACAATGTAGTTAGCAAAATATTTTAAGGAACAATATTTATATGTTGTCAATATTGGCTATTGAATTAAAGGAATGCAAATATTTCAATATTTTCTCATTTGCTACTCAATAATTGCATTTTCAAATTATAAATAAAATTTGTTTTTGAATATTCTGAAGGATGAAAAATGAAATATGTATGCATATAATACATAGAAATTACATTTATATTACATGTATGTGTATATATGTACATGTATGAATACACACACACCATATCATAGAGATATAAAACCTATAGGTATGTATCAATAGCCAAGGCTTCATCAGAGAAATAGAACAAGCACTTTATATATGTGTGTGTGTATATGTGTATGTATGTATATATACACATATATGTATATATATAGAGAGAGAGAGACATACACACACACATATTAAAAGGATTGGCTTACATGATTTTGGAGGCTGGCTAGGCAAGTGTAAAAGCTCTCTATGACATCTGCTTCAGAACCCTAAAGCTAACCACGCCCACATATGGTGACCTGAACCACCTGGTGTCCGCCACCATGAGCGGGGTCACCACTTGCCTGCGCTTCCCTGGCCAGCTCAATGCTGACCTGCGGAAGCTGGCTGTTAACATGGTCCCCTTCCCCCGACTGCACTTCTTCATGCCTGGCTTTGCCCCACTGACCAGCCGGGGCAGCCAGCAATGCCGAGCCCTGACGGTGCCCGAGCTTACCCAGCAGATGTTTGACGCCAAGAACATGATGGCTGCCTGCGACCCCCGCCACGGCCGCTACCTAACAGTGGCTGCCGTGTTCAAGGGCCGCATGTCCATGAAGGAGGTGGATGAACAAATGCTTAATGTCCAAAACAAGAACAGCAGCTATTTTGTTGAGTGGATCCCCAACAATGTGAAAACAGCTGTCTGTGATATCCCACCCCGGGGGTTAAAAATGTCCGCCACCTTCATCGGCAACAGCACGGCCATCCAGGAGCTGTTCAAGCGCATCTCGGAGCAGTTCACAGCCATGTTCCGGCGCAAGGCCTTCCTGCACTGGTACACAGGTGAGGGCATGGACGAGTTGGAGTTCACTGAGGCCGAGAGCAATATGAACGTCCTGGTGTCCGAGTACCAGCAGTACCAGGACGCCATGGCCGAGGAGGAGGGAGAGTTTGAGGAGGAGGCCGAGGAGGAGGTGGCATAGAGCCGTCTGTCACTGGGTAAAGCGCGGAAGCGGTGTGAGCTCTTTATCCACTCACAACCTGTTCTGATAGCCACGTCTCACTGTGTGTGCACTTGCTGTTCTTCCTGTCTTGACATCACATGCTGTACAGACACACCAATTAAAGCATTTTCATAGTGAAAAAAAAAAAACAAAAAACTTGTCCATAGGGCAAGCTGTCAGGAAGGACAGGTTGGAAACTCTGGTAGGAGCAAAAACTGCAGTCCATAGGCAGAATTTATTCTTTGGGGAATCTTCAGGCATGCACAAATTAGATTCCCTGATAATAGATGCTAAGAAAACATTTATTTTGTGAAGAAATGCAGGAAAAAAAAAACCCTTGGGGTATGCAAGAGTTTAAGACCTAGATGAATCCTTTGAAACAAATGTGCTTTATAATGGCACTTCCCAAATGTATGTAGTGATGGGTCTTACTCTGACCTTGACCTTTCTGTTAATTCTTTCTAGACTGTTATGGATGGAAGATGTAAGGAATTTATACCAAGAGTTTGTTTTATAAATGTAAACATTCAAGTTATACTTCTCTTTTTATTCACAAAGTTCTTGCATCCAGATGTTTGTCAATTGATCCACATTCTGATTTTCAGTGGTATTATTTACATAGAAAATATAATAGCATTCTGATTACTACAGTCCTGCCTGGTTGGAGCTTTGTGAGAAGAAATGGAATCAGAATGGCTATTTTGGAGTTTTTATTACTCTTTATGTTGGTTGTGCAAAGAAATCAGTTATGTGAAATGATTTCAGACCAAAAGAAAATTCTTTAAAATACCTTTACATCTAATTCAATAATTTATAATTCAGTATCATACTGTATTTATGAACTCAAAATAGCACTTTTTATTTAATTCAGCAATTCATGTATTATTTCCTTTGGACACTCCAATATCCATTCATAAATTTAGTTCACATTCCTCCAAATTTAGTGAAACGTGTTAATATATTTGCTAAATAATCATTCCAACTTTCCTCATTGGCTTGTAACACTCCTTTTTTATATGTATCATTTAATATATATTTTATATGTACTATAATAGAAATTATATTATATATGCCTTTCCCAGAACTGCATTTTATTTTTTATATCTGTATGTTATGTTTTAAAATCACTGATGGTAAATATTTTCATGTTCAATATTTAGAATGACCTATCTAAAGTTACCCTCCAGGGACTAACCCATTGGCAATGCTCCAATTCTCAGTTCCTGCCTTCATTTTCATTAGCCTGGTGTTACACTGATGAGGAATGTGGCATCATTTAATGGGTGCAAATGGCTGGTACTCATCTTACAGTCTGCCATCTTCTTTGAAGCTATAACAGCTTCCACTTAATTTCACTGTAATAATTCACATAGTATGCCTCTTCAGATAGACCATTTGAAATCCTTGATAAAACTTCCATGCATGATTTCTCTGCAAAGTAGTAGACATGAAATCACTTAAATACTATATCATTCTCTTTTACAACTACTGTTTACTATTTTTATTCTGGGGTCAGAAAAGGTGGAAGTTTTTCTCAAATGACTACAGCTAGAAATAATCATCTAGGACCAATATCTACTGAGACTTTAATTTCTTCTGAGACTTTATTAAGGTAAGGGAAAGTTATCACTACCTTCTATTTCTGTTTTTTCATATATTTCCCTACTAGGTATCAAGTATTCTCATTCACTCTTTAGAGAGTTCACGTCTTAGGTTAAAACTTGATTTTAGCTTCATTGGGATACTCTATTTCTGATTTCCCTCCTCAAAGCACACATAATCTAAGACTCTGTAGTGAATTCCTATACTTTTATTTTGCCTCAGCATCCATTTTGAATATAGATTTAATTTTCTCATAGCACAAGTAGAGCTTATTATTCATCCTTAACATAGTTTCCAGTTCTCCACTTCCTCCCAGTTTCTCAGTGTGATCAATCCAGATATCTGCCATACATAAGCACCTCCTGGTGATGACTTTCTATGGGACAGCTGGATACAACTTATTAGACTCACCCCACTGATTCACACACCTTTCATGGACTATACAGATATGCTCTTGTGACCACCTCTCAACCACAACATGGCTCCATGGCTCCATGGAGCTTGGCCCTGCTTGATCTAATTGGTGGCTCTGCCACCAATTAGACCACTCCCAAGGGAAACCTGCTTGGGTAATGTCCTGGACCCCAATAAAGGCTTCAATGACCTGCAGATAGAGATCCCTCTCTCTTTCTCTCTGAACTTCTCTCACTCACCTGCTTTTTAATCATGCCTGTGCTGGATATCTCTCCTCTTCCCACTGGCCCTATGAGACATGCTTTCCTCTATTTCCAGGGATATGCAAGTAAAACACTGTTTCTGTTATTTCGTTTGTTTTGTTGAGTTGCCATCCTCGGTGTTTCACCCGATTGACTGACACACCCTATCTTAGTTTCCAGACAGGGCACTCCTAGAGAATGGCTATCTTGATAGGAATATACTGGACACAGGTGAGACAAAAGCCACAAAGGTGTCTGCCAATATAAATAAGTTTCCTGTAGGGACACCTAGTCATGGATCACACACTTTGACATCAGGCTGTCCACCAGGATAAATTTATCCTCTGAAAGTTACTTTGTAAACATCCAGGGCCAAATACCCTGTAGCTCCATCAGGGCAGGGCTAGAGTTAATGGTCACTCTCCAGAGAAATACCTCAAGACTAATTTAGAGAAAAGTACACCATTTCTTATGATTTTCTGAAAACTTAATTCATACCAAATAAGTGGTTAATAATGACATAACATGTTGTTCCTAGGAAGAAGCATTTACTATTTAATCAAGGACTTCTGGAGTAAGTATGATTAACTCCAAGACCTGGAATGGCAAGGAGAAGACTAGGATGTTGAGGCCAGCTGACTTCCTCCACCTCTGCATGAAGGCTATTCAGCATTAGAGACTCTCGTGTTCAGAGGCTGAACAATTGGAACATGAGCTGTTTTATTTTGAGAAATAAGAGAAAGGAGTAGCAAATTTTAATATCAGTGGGGCATAATATTGGCATTGAAAAAAATCAGTTAAAATGGGCGTTTAGATTGAGGCCAATCTCAGAAAATTGAGTAGACAGAGATTTAGTAATGGGTAAGTTAAGAAGCATAGACTGAATTGAATTGGAATTTTCCTTTTATTAGTCGTTCCTATTTCTCTTCTTTTTCTAGCACTTATACAAATACTTCTTTTTAATTTGGGACACATATTAAATTGAATGTCCACAGAGGAAATGTTAGGAGGCACATGTGGTGGCTAAATGTTCATAGCCCCTCATGCACTTACGTTAGATAACAACTTGCATGTAATATCTGCTCTGAGTCCTTGTTCATATTTAGTACTAAACTAGGAGCTGTATTTGAAGCACCTTGAAAGGGAGTTTTATGTCATTATTTTCCCAGGAGTTTAACATTTCATTTATCTCTGTTTTTTCATTGATTAGCATGTGAAAAAAATCAAATATATGTACAGTAGCCTGAAAAAAATTGTTCTGTGTTTTTATCTTCTAAAATCCTACAGATAAGATTCATGTTAACTGGCAATTTCTTAGAGGAAAACACACACACACATACACACACACTCGCTCTCTTTAGGTTTAACAATACTTACTTTAAAAACATGATTTAATATATACTTGGCAAAAAAGATCCAAAGTTTACTTAAACTAATGAGAGCTCAGGATAATTATTTTCAATTATGCTTTGATAAAGTTTTGAATCTGTATGGAGAGGTTGAAATGATTGGGAAAATGTAGCTGTTGGAGACAATTAGCCATCAGGAAACTCTACATATCCACAGGAAACAATTTTGCAAGGAAGGAAATAGTTCTTTTCATTGGATTAATAGCCAGCAATTGATCAATCTGAAACATACACATCCTCTATTACTATGAAACTATTAATGTGTTGAAATGCATGTGGGAAGATAATTCAGTAAGCCCATACAATGACTTATCCAACAGGAAAAATATATCTTTTTAAGTTACATGTAGAGAGAATTGGTGATTCCTTTTTTCTTTCTATACGCATAATTTTTACTCCTTAGAATATATATACCATATACACATTTGCGGACTGTAGGTATTTGTGTATTTTCCAGCATATTCTGTGGCATCAGAAAATATCAGTAGTTTTTGGGCCCTGCAGCCAAGACAAGACAGCATATATAGACCATCTTCAGAGGTGACCTTCTCGGCAATGTGGTCTAAAGAACTAGATAAATTTTTTCACAGAATATCAATGGTTAGTAAATACATGCACCTTTCTCCTTGATTTCAAGACACAAATAAGAAAGGGTCTCTCAACAACTCTGCTCCATTCAGTCACCAAGTGAAATGGTTTTGTTTGTTCTTTGATTATTTCATCCATTTCCTTCTGAAATGCAGAAGGTTTTGTTTCCTTCTGCATTTCAACCCTTTACACTTATAAGTTTGTTCTTCTCATCAGAACAGTAAACACAATAGCATGTATGTATTGATATAAAATACAAGGAAGCTGATTTGCACAACAAATTTGCATGGCTATTTTGATTAAAAATAGAAAATAGAAATTTCTTAAGTCATACGCTTTACTGAGAGGTTAATTTTGTGATTTTTAGCCTTTGTTATGCTTCCCCAAATTTATAAGCAGGTTGTATATAAATGAAGTAATAGAAAATTACATTATTTATTTCCTAAATAGGAATATTTTCAGTAATGAAAAGGGCACCAAATAATTACCAGATGCCAACCGATCTATAACAGGCATAAAATCAAACTGCCTTGGGAGAATAGTGATAGAATGCTATGTAATGAGATTTAGAGAATACTCTCAGAATCCCTCATATGTAAAAAATATCTTTCCTTATATCATACTTCCTTTAAGGCATTAAATAAGCAACTGTGTAGCTATTCCAAATGTCTGAAAAACAAAGATGGAATTATTTTATTTAGGGAGTTGAAATTATTATTGATAAGATTTAGCATGTAAATAGTCTACCCTGCATTCATCAATGTCTTTTCTTACATTAATTTATTGGATTAGAGAAATGACACCTTTGAAGGCATAAGAAATCTACTCTCAAGGAAAAGTGGTAAATAGCACAGCTCCAAGGTATTGGGGCATGGAAGTCAGAGTACAAATTATCCTCAATTTGATAGGTGGAGGCTAGTCCAGCTGACCAGACTACCGGGTTAAATATAGGAATTGTAAGCTCTTGAATGGAAAAGTATAATTTGGGCAAAGATACAGCATAAGAGGAGGCTACACAAGCATCCTTCCATGATCTAACTAGTTAATTTTCTGGGAAATAATAGATTTACCTTAGAAATAAAATATGTTCAGAATTTTAGAGTTATAAATGGTATTAGAGATAAGTAAAATTGCTAATTTTGTAAAACTATTGAAAGTGAGGAACTTGGCCATGGTTAAACAGTTTAAAAAATTTTATTATTGTACTCTCAGAAAAAGTATAGATTAAAAGGAATTTACAGAATTATTCTTCATTCAGTTATGAGATAATAGGAGCATATTAGAATTGGGAACAGATATTAATAAAAAAGGGTGTCCCTAAAGCATTTTTATAGCTGAATGAAAATTTGCAGATTTAGAAGAATAAGACACCCATTGATTACTTGTCATTTGAATTGTTAGGACAGGAATTAACTACTTTTATTATTTTTAATATTTTAATACTCAGTAGAAACAGAATTTAGGACCTAAAATATTCTTAAGAATTAAGTAGAGTTTTTTACAGCTTTGACCTTTCAATATTTCACATTCGAATTTGTTGGCAATTCTTTCTACCCCCACAGGTTACTGAGGCCATAAAAAGAGAAGGGATTTGAATAACTAGTGAATTAGATCCATTATAGGAAAAGGCCAAAGAGAAGTCTATGGTTTCATAATTCATGGAATGTATAAGATATCCAAATGTCTGGATGGCAAGATGTACTATGTGAAATGGTAAGAGGAGTATTTTTAATTCTTGTTATTAACAAGAGGCTTGTTATACTCTTGGAGCTGCTGTAGAATTTACCTCAAAGTAGTGTCTTATATTAAAATAATCTATGAAGAGAAAGCAAGGTGTGTGTTGCCCAGGCAATTGCTAGTAGTACTCCTACCCCTTTGGATGCTGACTAGACAGCTCTGATGAATGGTGCCCTATAAAGATTGTTCAGTACCAGTGACAGAAGATAACTTGAGGTGACATAAGGCATGAGGGACTGTATTAGGGCATATTTTAAATCTGATTTATTCTGATTAAAAGCAGTAATTTTTGTTCCTACTTCCTCACATATAAGGCCAAAGAAAACCCCTACTATATTAATCATCTGCCCTCCCATCAATATCTGATTCACTTACATTAAAGTGAAAGATAGCATGAAATATTTTAAAATTTTTGCTTACAATGAAGTACTTAGCTAACTTCTTAGTAGATGACTTCTTTTAAAATATTCACATGGTTTAGGTATTTGAGTCATATGTTTAAAGTTTATACAACAGTACAAAACAAAGTAGAAGAAATATCAACACAGTATTTACCTGATAAAATTGGTAGAACTTTATATGTAACAAAATTAGTATGTTCTTTACATCTTAAGAACAGAAAACTACTGACCAAATATATAATTATTGATACTATTTCAAAATAGACAATCTCGTAGATCATATTGTGGTAGGGGAGTGAATGTTTACACAGTTGTATTACTAGATATATAAATGTATTTGTAAGGTATTTTTTAAAGGAAAACAATAATTTGTTATAACTGCAGAGTACAAAACATGAATTTATTTGAGTCTCAATGGAATCCATATACTTACAGTCTATTTTTGAATGTCTGCTACTAAAAAAAAATTGTAGTGTTACCCTAATATCAATGAGAGGGTATTGGAAAATTTTAGATGTTAACAAATATAATGCAAAATTTTATGTATATGTTATCCATATATATATATATATATACACAAAAAAAACCCATATGAAATCACAAATATAGTACATTTATTGCACTAAGTGCTATGATTAACATGAAATACATGCTAAAACATGTTGGGCTTATTATCACATGGATATTAAGATCTTCTAAAACCAATAATACAATAATACATACTGTCTATTGATTGTTCTCATGTATGTGCTTGCATTATAGATTGACATAATTATAATAAATGTTGTCCAAGAAAGGACCTTTATAATTCTAAGGTTTTTTACGAACAAGAAGACTAATATGAGCAATTAATTTTAAAATGCAAGAAAACAGCATAGAATGCTTTTATAAATTCAGTTTTCAGGGGAGAAACAGTAATTTTAACTATTTGGGAGTGCTTGTTTTCATTGTTAGGAAAGTAGAATAGAAAATTATGAAAAATTGAATGTATAAGAGTTAACAATTGTGTTGTGATCCAGTAAAATCAGGGAAGAAGATTGATTAAGGAAAAAAGGAAGAAAAACTGGAGCAATCACATAGATAAAAATGCACATGGACACACACATAATGTACCATATCCAGTACAAATGCTAGCTACAAAGATGAATAAAATGTGGGTCTGTCCTTTTACTCTCATAACAACTCATATGTAAATATATCACTGAATATTGCAATTCTTTAATGCTCTTGAAATATAGTTTCAAATATAGTTCTAAAACCATGTTTTTATTTAGCTTGTTTGAGACATTCACATACACACTTAGGCTGGCTTCACTATATTGAAATTTCTCTCTATATATTTAACTATAATATTAGCTTTCCAAAGACAGCAAGTGTCTTTGTCTCTGCATGTCTAGCACCTAACACAGCTAATAGAGTAGATGTCATGTAGAAAGGAATTGATTGTTATTTTGGGGATGAATTAAGTTATTAGTTAATGAATAGAGTTATGAACATTACATTCATGACAGAAAACCTAAATTCTAAATAAATTTTATTTAGATTGTTTGCAGAGCTTCCTTTCTCTTTATTTCCCCAAACCTCACTATTGAACATTACAACTTTAAAGGTCCTGAGATTCTTCCTCTCTGAGACATATAGTCTTTAAAAACATTAAAAAATAATAATTTCAGTTGTAAAAGCCTCATATAAAACTTGCTAACGTTAATTTAGAAAAAAATCAAAGCACTCTGTTCCCCACAATATGTAAGTTTGAATAAAGTTGCATTTACATCAATTCTTACATTTTAACAGAATATCTTCAGTTTGTAGTTTTCAAATGCAAAATGTAGACTACACATTGCCTAGAAAATGGTCCTTTGGGATTTAACTCATTATCATTGAAGTGTGAAGTTCTAATTGTATTACTTTTCATAATACATCTTCTATATAGATATTATTCAATGCTCGCAAACTCAAGAAGTGGGAAATGGAGAGGTTATAATGCAGGGGAGATTTATGCTAAGAAGATTCTGGGTTGTCACGATTAACAATTTTCCACCCATTATGTGAATCCTATTGATCATTGCAGGAAGCAGAAAAGTGTGCTGTTCATTGATTTTCTGTGGCTACCGAATGCATTAGGTCTGACACGTTTGATAAGTAGGCAGGTTATCAAAGGAAGTTCAGTTAAGCTAATCTTAGTTCAGAGGAATATTCACAATGCAGTAAGAAACCTTGTAATTGCAAGAGAAAATAGAAGAGTCAGAGAACTATAATATGAGCAATAAAATGAGCACAAAAATTAGACATGAGCCTTCCCAAGAAACTCCAGTAAAACACATCAAGGTTTTGGTGCTGTTTTTCACAAATGTAGCAATTACTGGATAAATTGAGTTTTAGCTTTTCACCCTTCAGCCACTCAAGATAGTGAATGCAAAGCAATTAGTTCTTTCATCTTCTTCACTAAGGCAAGTTATCAGAATTCCATCAAGTTCATAAAAATAAACCTGAAGAAATTACATAATTGCTTCGCACAAGTGAAATTGATAGCAATAAATTCAATATTTTGTTTCTAATGATCTATTTCTGAGTCCCTTCATTATTATATTGTTTCCCTGAAATACAAATTTTCATTCATGAGTTGTATCAAAGGCTACTAAAGTAGAGTGATAGAAAATTCAAATCATAAAGACTTATTGTACCCTGGGAATTAATTCATATTTCAAAATTAAAGGTAGAAAGTATGATCTTGTATCCCCGTTGGAAGCTATCTTAGTGACTTATTAATACAATGTCAGAGCACAGTGTTACTTCTCAGTAGTACAAAATAATGGCAAATGCTATGTATGTTTTTCTGGTACATTAAGTACCAGGGCACTGTGTCTCCTTTAGGTGATGATTAATTAAATTAGCATAAACCAAGTGGTCTTTTATGCTCACAAACAAACATTGTGTATTTGGCAATCAGCCTTCTCACTCATTTTTTTCTGGACCATTTAACATGCAAGCATACAACTTAAATTTATAAGAATAAATGAAGACATATAGACTTTTAATGCCATATTCCAATTTAATGAAATCCAACAAGGAAACCCTCCCACGCCCTGGGGACAGTAACATTTCTCTTTCACTGCCATTGGAAATTTGTCCCTTAAATATAAAAAACGATTACAAATTATTAATCATGTGTGGCCTATTTGAATTTAATAACTATTTTGCTTTGCAATTAATTATCAAAATACTGTGAGAATTAGGTATTTTAAAGTATTACAACAACCACATAATTTCATTACTATTACTTTGCATGTGGCTTTTGGTAGTGACATCTGAGCAGGACAGATTGACTTCAAGGACAAGGTCAAGAAAAGGCTCAACACAAGGCTCTCAGGCTTTGCATGTGAGGAATGTGAGGTGCATGGGGTTCCATTTACTTATTGGTGTTTTCTAAACAAGTTAATTATAATATCAGGATTTGAATATAGAACTTTTATTGAACTATTTTTCTCTACTATATTGTATGAGACATTTCATCCTCCAGCAAAACAAAGTTTATTTACAGGTTTTTCTACCACAACTCTCAGCAGGGAACTGTACCAGGTTATGATCACTGTATCTTACTTCATCCTATCTGAATATGTTACCACTTACTATTTGTTATAGAAAAGCCTTCTTCATTTACATAAATCATCTGGTATATCTAAGACCTGTGGTCCTTAGAATGAATAAGGTTAAAGTTTTAGCAATCAATTAATGAAGTAATTTCATTCCAGCATTAAAACAAATGATAAAATCAAATTCCTAACTGTTGCTCATTAATGAGCACTGTTATTAAATGATGTGTATTTTAAGATGGAGTTTTGTGGCTGGGCGCGGTGGCTCACGCCTGTAATCCTAGCTCTCTGGGAGGCCGAGGCGGGCGGATTGCTCGAGGTCGGGAGTTCAAAACCAGCCTGAGCAAGAGCGAGACCCCGTCTCTACTATAAATAGAAAGAAACTAATTGGCCAACTAATATATATAGAAAAAATTAGCCGGGCATGGTGGCGCATGCCTGTAGTCCCAGCTACTTGGGAGGCTGAGACAGAAGGATCGCTTGAGCCCAGGAGTCTGAGGTTGCATTCCCCCCAGGGTGATGGGGTGAACCTTTGTCTAAAAAAAAAAAAAAAAAAAAGATGGAGTTTTGTGAAAACTATAGGAATTTACCTTAAATAAGTTTTAAGTATTAAAATTAAGTATCAGTGTTTCCTTTCAGGTTGGATAATATTTATTCCCACAAGGAAAAATAAAGGCATCACACAGCAGTGTGGAAGTGAATCAGAATTCATCTGGCAGGAATGTGAGGAATAGAATCATTTTTGAAAGCCAAAATTCTGAAATGTTCATATATTTTACATCTCACAGATACGCTGTGATCTGGAATCTAAAAAAATAATAAAAGAGTTAAAGAGCAGTTTTACATTTCAAATGTGTCCCCAAGCAATAATATGCATGAAAACAATTACAATTTCATTTTCTTTAAAACAGAAAAAAATGCCTGTCAATTGAAATATCAACTGATGCACAATGAAACTAATTCTTTGAACTTAATTTCAAAATTAATTTTAACAGAGCAATGACATTAGATATGTTAAAAAGAACTTCAGGTGATCTTTTTAACAAAAATCGAAAGTTTACTTTTAAAGGTAAAATTTCATTTGCTAAAGGAAGTTTTTAAAACTCAAATACCTTATATTACTGAATACAAGAAACTACTACCAGGAAAGGCTCCAGAGAATATGTGAAAATTAAAATGGTTTAAAGTAAAATAATAATAACAATAAAAGTAAACAAATGAATAAATTTGTAATTATTGTTTTTATTTTATTTTAAAAAATATTTTAATATGAAATACTTTTAAAAAATTGATATTAAAGCTTGTCTCATTCCAAGGACTATAAGGGAACTGTTTACATATATGGTCAAGAACTGTACTAAGAGGAATTAAACAAAAGGACCCCAATAAGAAAGATATTGTGCTTAGTACAAAATGTTTAAATTTTGGTATATTAATCTTTAAAAAGCATAAATAGGATCTTTATTTGTCAATATAAAATATGTTTAAGATATATTAAGAGAGAAAAAGTAAATTCAGAAAACTAGACTTCCTATTTTTAAGAGGATTGTATATGTATGTGTTAGTACTCATGTAAAAATTTTGCACTAATACATTGTTATCATCTATTATAATACAACGAAGAAGATTTGAAAAATACGATTGGAAATGAGATTTACTTTTACTTCTATTCCTTCTTGTGTTTGAATTATTTCATGGTTGTACACTATTTTTATGATAGCAAAAGAATGAATAATCATAACAGCTAATTATAGACAAATGTTTTTGTATCATTTGTATCATTTTTGCCTATATTAAAATGAAAGAAACATAAACAAAATTCGGATTACTAATCAACATTTTTATCATCCTCAACACAACAGGACATAATAATTGTAATGTATGTTATTCAATGAAGTTTCATGCCACTGTATATTTGAAGACAACAGAGCTGGCCATTAGCTGCAGTCCTGACATAAATTTGCTTTTGCTCCAACACAAAAAGTCTTGTTTGAAGTATAGTATGCAAATAGTTGTTGTTACTGTTTTGTTTATATTTCAAGCAAAGGAAGCCACATATAATTGAAGATAAAGAAGTGAGAACATGTGATATGTGCTTCAGAAATGGCCTAGTTGTTTATATAGTAAATTTGGAAGAGATTAACTTTTAATGTTATAGGTTGATTAAATGATGTCAACTACTTCAGAATGTTTAGTATTTCTCTAAACATTTTAAAGTTGCTCATAAATTAATCGGATGTCAACTTCTTCAGAATGTTTAGTATTTCTCTAAACATTTTAAAGTTGCTCATAAATTAATCGGTATATAGGACAGTTTCTTTCAACATCCTGGCAAAATCAGAGGAAAATTCCAAAACTGAGAACATATTTCTAAAAGTTAAAATATTTTAAAAATCTTTGAGTTCTAAAAATTTCCTTTAACAAACAAGATTTAAACTTTAAAAGTAAACCATCAATTTTTGTTAAACAGATCATCTGAAGAGCTTGTCAACATATCTAATGTTATTGCTATGTTAAAGCATTTTATCATTTTATTATAATTCATTGCATAATACAGTGTATGTACTGATATTTAAACTACTATAACCCATGGCGGGGGTGTGGGGAGGAACTATTCACAGGCCAAAAAGTTTTGGACTTTAATGGAGCCAGTGTCTCATAACACATTTTTAAAACTTTTGTTAAAATATGGATATAGAATATTCCCTACTATAAATAGGTTCATTTGGGAAAAAAATTTGATGCACTTCATTGAAGATTATTCAAAAGTTTCAAGTATTTGAAGAGAAAAGGATCACTCTGTCCTGAAAAAATTGACAAGGAGAAATTCATTCAAAATTACTCTTTATTCTCTGGATTTTTTTGTTCATATTACTGAAACACTATTTTTGTTCTGGATACTAGATTCTACAGAATTTCTTCTTTTTTGTTTGTTTCTTTCTTTCTTTCTCTCTTTTTTCTTTCTTTCTCTCTTCTTTCTTTCTTTCTTTCTTTCTTTCTTTCTTTCTTTCTTTCTTTCTTTCTTTCTTTCTTTCTTTCTTTCTTTCTTTCTCTTTCTTTCTTTCTTTCTTTCTTTCTTTCTTTCTTTCTTTCTTTCTTTCTTTCTTTCTTTCTTTCTTTCTTTCTTTCTTTCCTTCTTTCTTGAACAAAAGCAGAGGTCAACCTACTTGACAAATGCTTAATTTTTTTGTTGTTGTTGATAAATGCTTAAATACATATAGAATGTACTTACACCGATGAAAGTTACTGATAATTTTTTAAATTTTATATATGCATAATGTGGCATTAAAATGATATAACATATTATTTAAAGTACAAATAGAAAGCATCATCAGTAAATTATTGGTTTTTAGCCAGTGAAACTTATGCTTCCTGATGTTCTATATTGCCACATAACCTTTACTAAAATGTTCTTATTTATTTCTTATTTTTTTATTTACTTTAGGTTTGTTTGATATGCCTCTTCAAATAATGGATATACTCTGGGATTCCCAGCAAGGGATGGGAAACTAAGTTGATGTAAATATATTAAAAATATTTAGAAATACTGGAGAAAACATCATATGCAGAACAATTGAATTTGAAATGAGAAATGCAAGTATCCAGATTCCACAAAGGAATTTTAGGTAGGGATAACACAATGTCGGTCTTGAGGGTGCTAATTCTATGCAGCTGAGAATATTTCAGCATTTTCATACCAAGATTAAAAAAAAAAAAGATATAAACTGGGATCCTCATGTATGGGAGATATAGTATGTTGAAATGTATAAGAATCTAAACCACTGATGTGATGTTCCTCTATAAGTTGATGATAAGTAAAATTAATCTTAAAAGCACAGTAATCAAAACAGTGTAGTATAGTAGAAAGATAGATATATACACCAATGGAGTAAAATAGAAACCCCAGATATAAACCTTCTGATATATGGTCAAATGATTATTATTTTATTTCAGCCTATTACAGGGGTACAAATGTTTGGGTTACTTATTGCCTTTGTCCTGCCCAAGTCAGAGCTTCAAGTGTGTCCATCCCCCAGACAGTGCACAACACATCCATTAGGTGTGAATATACCTATCCCCTCCTACTTCTTCCCATGTGCCTAACACCTGATGAAGGTTACTACTCAATTTGCATCTGTTGATCAATTAATACCAATTTGATGGTGAGTACATGTGGAGTTTGTTTTTCCATTCTTGTAGTACTTCACTTAGTAAAATGGGCTCCAGTTCCATTCAGAATAATACAAGAGGTGCTAGATCACCATTGCTTTTTGTGGCTGAGTAGAACTGCATGGTATACATATATCACATTTTATTAATCCATTCAGGTATTGATGGGCACTTGAGTTGTTTCCACATCTTTGCAATTGTGAACTGTGCTGCTATAAACATTCGAGTGCAGATGTCTTTTTTATAGAATATCTTTTTTTCCCTTTAGGTAGATGCCCAATAATGGGATTGGTGAATCAAATGATAGTTCTACTTGTAGCTCTTTGAGCTATCTACATATTACTTTCCACAGAGGTTGTACTAGTTTGCGGTCTCACCAGCAATATATAAGTGTTCCTATTTCTCCATATACACGCCAACATTTATCGTTTTCAGACTCTTTGATAAAAGCCATTCTCTCTGGAGTTAAGTGATATCTCATGTTGTTTTTATTTGCATTTCCTAATAATTAGAGATGTTGAGTATTTTTTCATGTTTCTTGGCATTAGTCTGTCTTCCTTTGAAAAGTTTCTGTTCATGTCCTTTGCTCACTTTTTAATGGGGTTGCTTGATTTTTTTCTTGCTGATTTTCCTGAGGTCTATATAGATTCTAGTTATCAGCCCTCTATTGGATGTGTAGTGTGGGAATATTTTCTCCCATTCTGTAGGTTGTCTTTTTACTCTTGTGATAATTTCCTTGGCTGTGCAAAAGCTTTTTTTAGTTTCCTTAGGTCCCATTTCTTTATTTTTGCTGTTGCTGTGATTGCCTTTGGGGTCTTCTTCATAAATTATTTCCCTAGCCCAATGTCTATAAGAATTTTTCCAACATTTTCTTCTAGAATTCTTAAAGTTTCATGTCTTAAGTTTAAATCTGTTATCTACTGTGAGTTGATTTTTGTGAGAGGTGCAGATCGTGTTTCAATCTTTCACATGTGGCTCTCCAATTTTCCCAGCACCATTTATTCAATAAGGATTATTTTTCCCAGTGTATGTTTTTATATGCTTTGTCAAAGATTAGATGGCTGTATGAAGATGGTTTTACATTTGGGTTCTCAGTTCTGTTCCATTGGTCTATTCGTCTGTTCATGTGCTAATACCATGCTCTTTTAGTTACTATATCTGTATAGTATAACTTGAAGTCTGGTAAATCGATGCCTCCCAATTTGTTCTTTTTGCTTAAAATTGCTTTTGATATACAGGGTTCCATATGATGCGTAGTATTATTTTTTCTAGGTCTGTGAAAAATGATGTTGATATTTTAATAGAGATTACATTGATTCTGTTGATCACTTTGGGTAGTATAGACATTTTAACAATGTTGATTCTACCGACTCATGAGCATGGTATGGTTTTACTCTTGTTTATGTCCTATGCTATTTCTTTCCTCAGGGTTACATAGTTCCCTCTACAGAGGTCTTTTACCTCATTAGTTAAATATATTCCTAGGTATTTTATTTATTTATTTTTTTGTTGCTTCTGTGAAGGGTATTGAGTCTTTGATTTCTTTCTCAGTTCCTCTGTTGTTGGTGAATAGGAATGATACTGATTTCTGTACATTGATTTTGTAACCTGAGACTTTGCTGAGTTTGTTTATCAATTCCAGTAGTCTCATGGCAGAATCTTTGGGGTTTTCTAGATATAAGATCATATCATCAGCAAAGAGTGATAGTTTGACCTCTTCTGCCCCATTTGGATGTCCTTGATTTCCTTCTCTTGTTTGATTGCTCTGGCGAAGACTTCCAGCACTATATTGAATAGAAGTGATGCTAGAAGGAAACCTTGTCTGGTTCCAGTTCTAAGCGGCAATGCTTTCAATTTTTCCCCATTCAAGCTTTCCAGAGATATTTACATTTGTTCAAGAAATTAAAATTCAGTATACTCAAGATTTATGTTTAAATAACCATTGATTGGTTATTAGTATTTATTGCTTTTAAGTATATAATTATAAAAATATTTTAGGATAAGTGTAGTAAAGACTTCAACAAATTAACTCCAATATATGTTTGTCATATAATAATTTAAAATGATGCATTGTCTTAAAATGTACTATAATCATACATTTTTAGCTTGCTTCCTAAATTCCATAAAATATTCCTGTGGGGTTCTCAAAATTGTAAACTTTTCTGATGATTTCATTCTGGATCAATGTTTTTACCTCCTGGCAGAAAAAAAAATCTTTTATTTAAGTTATTGTCTGACTTTATAATATTTCTGCTAAATGTAGTGAGAAGAAATAATTTAAATTTTAAATTAATTTTAATTTCATTACTGAATATCCTGTAGGGATATCCTTTTTTACTGTCACCATAATTAATAGTTTTAAAATGTATTTTCAATATGAATTTGCCTGCAAGAAAATATATAATACAAAAGGTTAGAAAAATATACATTATGTATTTCTGATTATGATATGCTCTATATATCTACTGGGAATGTGGCTACATTAATATCCAAAATTAAACATAAAAGATACATATTTTTTGCATAGTCACCCCTTGATATAATAGCCTATTAATATAAAAAACAAAATATTTTGTTTCAATTTGCTTAACCAGTTTCTAATGTCTTTCTCAGGTTGCACCAAAATACTGACACTAATATTATATTTCACTTTGTGAACTTTCTCTCTTGTATTACATTTCCAAAATACAGACTGAGTGACTATACTTTGTAATGAATTACTTTTTACCTCTGTTCCACAGCATTAAGTATTGTGAAAGGAAGGGTACAAAACAATGTTAAGTAAAGTGCACACTGAGTAAATTCAAGTGCAAAGTATACCTTATTATGTTTGTTTACAACAAGTAGGACAAAGTGGGAGGAAATTCTTTTTCTTTTCTTTTACTGTTGCTTTGTTTGGTTTTTTGACTCAAGTGGAGAAACAACTTTCCCTATAGGAATGAGTTTTACTGTAAAAGCTTTATTCTCAGATGATCACAATATTTATAGATGTCAAAAAGTGGATGAATGTGTGGTGAGTGATGAGATGGAGTGGAGAAGAATTTGTTCAAGGGAGCCATTGATACCAAACTATCACTCAGGGCTACCTCATCTGAAGAAAACCATGGAAGGAATTTAATCATAAAGCATGATTGAGTGGTAGTCACAAATCAAATTTTTAATGAAAATTGGAGCCTAATGTTAGAATAAAATTAAGTTATCATATATAAAACTTTTCCTACAAATATCATATTGAATAAATATGTTGAAAATCAGTGTTGCATAGTGAGGGAAGAAAAGAATATAATCAAATTTTCATTACTGTTACATTTTTCAGGAACATTAACTGTGAAAGGTAGTATAAAAACTTCACAGCCAGTAAGCCTCTGAAATCTTTACAATATGTTTTGAGTTTGTTTTCCAGTGTATATATGTTTTTGTCTTAAAAACAAATTCCACATAGTTCAACTTTGTTCTATTAGAGATATTGTATTATGGGCTTTTGCTAACTCAGTGATTTAGTTGTATATTCATGTTAAGTAAATTAATATAATTGCACTTCTAATCATGGCTCTTTTCCTGTACAACTTTAATGCATTTATGGATGAATAAAAATTATGTTTCCAATATTAATTAATGACTAATTGTACCTTTTATGTGTTATTCCAAAAAATGCTTTCAGTAATCATTTGCTGCTTTTCTTTCTGTAATACATGGGCCACGATCTGATATCAACATAGACTTTTACAGTTTTTTTAACTTTCTTTTGATAAATTGTTATGTGAGTTACAGGCATTAAAACTTAAAGCTTTCAAACTATCTAAAATGATACAACTAATATTATGCTATAATTCAATATCAAAAATATAAACAATCTTGAGCTAATTTTCTAATTTATTTTATATGAATTAAATCAAATATACTTATTTTAAGAAGTAAGGTTATATTTAGAAATCTCCTAGTAATACAGTATGCTGCATATCTTCATGTTATATCAGAAGTTTATAGCAGTCTCAGGAACACAAGTGCTTAATTTCTTGGCCAATAGCTATCTTTTATTGAATAGACAAATGTAACAGAGGTATACACAAAAGCAGTATGTAGTAACTTTAATTTTTTATAGAAGGTACTAGAACAGTTAAGCTGGCCAAATCAATAAACTGTTACATTTTCCAACTGTATATCACTTAGACCAGATAAAATGTATATGACACATGACTGAACTTGGGCATGCACATGTTTTGTCATGAAAGGAATGGGATGAACATAAGAACTTCATGTGCCTGGGTAAAATCATCAATATAGCTCTGTCTTTTAATGTCTTACTTTTTGTGACTTTTATTGTAGGTTTAAATATGTAGTTGGGGAAAAAAAAAGTCTCTTAGAATAACATACATTGTACTATGGTTTGTGTTGGGATGAGACTATACAGTGATTATTCTCCATGGCTAAGATTTGGAAAGACCCTGCTGTAAAGGACAAACACCTTAATTGGTAATAGTTTTGATGTTGGAAATCTATAAACAAAGAGAATTAGGTCACATTGATGAATAAACTCATTGTAAAGTGAGCATGAAATTAAATCCTATCAATTTATATATTTGAGATAGGAAAATTTGTTTAAATTAAAGTGTAATTTTAGGAATCTGTTATCATAAATTTCAATTGTGTACACTTTCTTTACAAATATTAAACTGAATGAGCTAGGAATTAAATATAAATCTAGGTGTACGGATACTTCCTACTTTTGAAATACTTTATTCGTGGAAATAACTGCAGGGGACAAATATGAAGAATGCCATGGGAGCAACCTTATGATAAGTCATTTGTTTTTCTGTAATCTGCCTTATTGTTTATCTTGTTAAGAAACTTGTTGAGCAATTCTGCTGCATCTACTGGCACCTGACAGAAGGATCATCAGTCATCGTGTGGGTTTTGGCCTACAAACACTTTTACGGGATTCAGGAGGGATATGGATTTAAATTTTAAACTGGTTTCTGTCAGTGTGACAAATGAACACTAGAAAATTGTAGGACAATGGTAGAATGTTGAAATGCATGCCAAAAGTAATGAGCCAATCTTCAAGTGGAATCAACAGAAATAGCTTTAAAATATCTCCAGGTTATACTATTACTATAAGTCTATGTCTAAGGAATAAGAACAGTGTATTATTGAAGTTTTAAAACCCTAAATCATATTAAGAGGTTACATGATTAATTGCTTGGAATAATTAAACCACAGAATAATAATTTTTAATAAAACTGTCAATAAAGCATTAATTTTTAGCATAATTTTTTGAAAAGTCAAAATAAAACATCTAAAACATTCATTTTTCCTGAATTTACTTTGTTAGCAAAGTGATTGCTGCTTTATTCCTTTATTAGTTTTATATAACAGTGATTTTTCAAAGTGTATATCCTTATTCTGAGTTTTTAATATATTTCAGGTAGAAAGAATGGAAACGACTGCTGCATTTTGATGAATTGCACTTTAATATATCTAAGGACTCTTAACAAAAATAACTAAAGCAGTGACTGCTGTGATATCAGCTGAAGCATAGTGTAGACAGCCTCAGGCTTTAGGTTCTTTAATTAGAACCTTTAAAAAGTAACTGACACAGTGGCACCTACCTATCATCTCAGCTACTCTTGAGGCTGAGGCAGGAGGATTCCTTGTGTCCAGGAGTTTGAGGCCAGCCTGGGCAATATAGTGAGACACTGGCTCTAAAAAAAAAAAAAAAAAAAAGGAAAAGTGCTTGGCTTCATACTCTTGTAATTCCTAAATGTTTTTCTTTGTATTCTTGTGAAGCAACTTCAGCTGCATAATTGTTCTCTAGTAGTGGAAGCAACATAAAAGTGGTTCAATATTTTAAGACAATGATTTTGTTTATAATATTTTAAGGCAAGTCCTTTTAAGATAAGGCTAAAATTATTTCATACGGAATTTTTTTAAATATTCATTGTATAAAATTTCTAAATTAAATGCTTGTCAAAGTTATCGTCATACAATTTTGTGAAGAATGGAATCTTAAAATAAAATACTTTTTGATCAAATCACCTTTTCAGAAAGGTGGTTTGAACATTAATACAATCAAGGATTTATTAAATATATCCCTTCACCTGAACCTCAAGAGTATTATAAAAACAAATTCTAATTGAAGAAGCAAAATGAAAGTGTCATTTCTTTAAAAATACTGTGATTAAGTTATTTTTTATAAACTGCTAATCTTGTAGTAAATTTATATCATTTTTAAATATTAAAATTATTTCTAATTTTTTAACATGAGTCTGGTATATGTTTTATTTTATAGACAATAAAAGAAATATGTTTGTGAGAAATATGAATTTTCTCCTATTAACTCCTTTTAATCATTAAGGTCATGAATACAGTGAGTCAAAACAAGTGTTCAGATTATTATGGCACAATTTAATACTTTGCTGAAAATGCAGGAATATTTATTTTCTTATTTATTATATAAAATGTATTTCCTATATTAATTCTTTCTAAAATAGTGTACTTAATAGGAGAATATACCAAATGATTTAAGCCATAGATCCATCAATTATTGGGATAGTATTACATGCTTTTTTTGTAATATACAGAAACAGTATAATGGGTTTCAAGTTGCTAAAGGATTTATTTTTACATTGGTTTCATTAATTGTCTTGAAGATACCAAAATGAAAACTACACTACTCAACAATGAAGTAGGCCTGGTGAACTGACTTTAGCACCTTAGGTCATCTCTAGTCTATTCAAATCTGTATGATTGATAGTCAACCTGATCCTTGGAAGAGCCTAAGGAAATATATTCCCTTCAGAATCATCACTGTGACTATAGAATTATATTATCTTTTTTTCTTTTTTTCTTGAGACAGGGTCTCATTCTGTTGCCTAGGCTAGAGTATAATGGCATCATCACAGTTCACTGCAAATTCAAACTCCTGGGCTCAAGCGATCATCCAAGTAATTTTTAAATTTTTTGTAGAGATGGATCACTATGTTGATCATGCTAGTCTCAAACACTTGGCCATGGGTGATCCTCCTGCCTTGGCCTCCCAAACTATTAGGATTACAGGCCTGAGCCTTCATTAATATTGATAAATACATTTATCAATATTAACGCATTGATAAAATAGCATAGAGACTGCAATTTTATGCAGAAATATTGATAATGGAAAATAGCCAGGGCTCTTTTTTTAAAAAAATGCACACAGTACAGAAATCTGTGTTGGCAGAACTATACATTGATACACTGAACTAAATAAATTAAAAATATGTTGTTTATTCTTTCTTTAGGATATGTGAGCATGTGCAAATGTGAAATATATACATATGAAAGAATAAAGGAAAAAATATTTGTGGAATGAGCAAAGTAAAATATTAAAGTAACTGGAATACAGAAGAAAGACAAATAATACAGCACAAGACTATAAAAATTTACCAGAAATATAGGCTCAAGTAAAACAAACCAATGAAGGTAATAAAGTGAAATGAAATATTATCCTTTATTTTCCCTTCAAGATATTAGAGTTCTGAGCAGAATTATAGCACCTACTCCATGAATTTGTTTAGCAAATACTTATCATATCGAAATAGAATAATAGTTGTCATAACTAAAGTGGGGTTACTCTTCTTTCTAAGTACTGTGATGTTGGTTATTTGGTGAGACTCAGTTTCTAAAGTAAAAATTACTCTTGACAATCAAATAGCTAAGGCAAAATTATTTTTGGGAATCCTTTGTCTAAAATCCAATGTAAAAATCATGTAAAGTGAAATTATTCTTTAAAGTTCTAGAAAGTTGCCATGTTGAAGACCTACATACTTGCTACAACTCACCCAAATGTTCTTCTAGCAATTAGTTCTGTTTTGTATCAGTTGAAGTACTTGACCTACACTGAGAGGTTCTATGTTGTGTCATAAATAAACAAATAAATAAAATGTTTTTAAATACTAGAATCATATTCAGCATGATGAGAGAACTATTCAGTTCTGGGCCCAGGCATCTAAGTCTAGAGGAACAAGCAAACTAAATTTCAATCTCACTTTTGGGTAAAAGCTAAGTGAGTAGATTGATTCCAAGAAATGTCCAGATTATTTCATTTGCTATTTTTTTAAATCTTTCAAAGTATTCCACCTGTCTTTTGTTTAAGACATTTTATATAAAAACAAGAATATTAAATATAGTTGAATTGAATGCACATGTAATGTAAATCCAAATATAATGCCTACAGTATTTCCCTTACATTATTCTTTATTTTCGACAAAATTTGATAAAAGTTATTTAATTGTTCTCATTCTCACAAAAATATGGGTGTGTCTTTTCTCCCTTAATTGTCTTAAATGATGGCCTTGAATGAGATCCAAAGAGGGCTGTTCATTTTCATATCTGATATCCTAATTAATCATGAAATATTAATGTGCTGGATTAGGTAAGAGAATTTTTCAGGGAAATTATGATTTTTGTTTGAGTAGAGATGGATTAAAATAATTTCACTTAGGATAATAAAATTTATTTTCAAGATTTCAGGTTGATTTATAATGGACTCATTCAAAATATTTTTTTATAATAGTATAACATTGGGTACAATTCTTTTTCTTTTCTACTAGAAGCATTTTTTTTACTTCCTTTACACTTGTAAAGCATTAAAATTCATCTTTTATTGACTATGTAGCCTAGATATTTTATATCTTATTCCATTAAAAAATTAGGCATTATAGGAGACATATAAGTAAAATCCCATCAAGTTTCAATTAAAGCCTACAGAAAATCCATGAATAGCATTAAATAAGTATAGAAACACATGACAACTTTGAAACATTTTAAGTTCTGGTTTCCTTTTTTCCTCGGTATTTTGTGGCCTGTGATCCTGATACATTCTTTCTTTCTTTTTTTTTTTTTTTTTTTTTTTTTTTAATTTCAGGAAAATATGAGAGTACAAACATTTTGGTTACATTTTGTATCTTTGCCTCTCCCTAGCAAGGGCTAGAGGTATGCCCCTCCCCTCCACAGTGCTCACCACATGCCCCAGCTGTGAGTCTCTTGATGAAAGTTTAGGCTTAGGGAACATGACACTTGTCCTGCCCTGCTTCTCCTCCTGGTGAGACCCCAGCAATACTGCTGCTCCAAGCAAATGTCTTAATTCTTTTCTTTTTTCTTTGGGAGGGATTTTGCTATGGCATTGAAGAACAAGGAAGACAGGTGGCGACTACTTGGATGGAAAAGTCAATGTGAAGTGAAATCTGGTGGATAAGAAGACAAATAAGAAGGGCTGGAGAGAAAGCATCCTGGTCTAAGGAACCCGGAGAAAGAAGGCTTAGTCTGAATGCAAAGCAGAAATGCAAAGTGGTTAGGAAACAGCAACAATAAAGAGAAAGTGTGAAAACATGAAGAGTTTTGCAATTCTTATTCCTCTTATGTAGTTTGAGTTTCATTGTAAAGATGAATTCATTGAAGAGTTTCCCCATTTGTAAATTGAAAGTAATGCTATCCTCTATTTTTCAAGTTACTACAGTAATAGCTAATAGTTATATACTACTGTGCTAAACACTGCTTAAAAGTGTGTTAATTTTTAAACGTTTTTTGATATAGATAGTATTACTATTACCACCCCCATTTGATATATGGGAATATTGAGGCATAGAAAATTTAATTATCCAAGGCACACTTTGGACTTGCATGTACTCTTTTTTTTTTTTTGAGACAGAGTCTCGCTTTCTTGCCTAGGTTAGAGTGAGTGCCATGGCGTCAGCCTAGCTCACAGCAACCTCAAACTCCTGGGCTCAAGCAATCCTCCTGCCTCAGCCTCCCGAGTAGCTGGGACTACAGGCACGAGCCACCATGCCCGGCTGATTTTTATATTATATATATTAGTTGGCCAATTAATTTCTTTCTATTTTTTTATGGTAGAGATGGGGTCTCGCTCAGGCTGGTTTTGAACTCCTGACCTTGAGCAATCCGCCCGCCTCGGCCTCCCAGAGTGCTAGGATTACAGGCGTGAGCCACCGCGCCCGGCCTGCATGTACTCTTGAAATGTCAGAACTAGAATTTAAAGTCAGGCAGTTTAACTTCAGTATCTGTGCTCTTAACCACAGAAAGACTAGACTCTGTTAGAAAACTAAATGAGATTATGTATGTGAGGAAGGAATCTCATCACCTTGATATTTTTTATGTAGTCAGCTCTAAAATCAAGAGGCTTCCTTCCAAACCCTGTCCAACAATCTTTTATAACTTTGTTATAAATGTTACATTTCCTTGTCTCCCTCTCCCAAGTCTCTATTATCTCTAGCACCTCAGAATTGTACCCATAGTAGCTTTTTCTCTACCCTTAGAACACTACTCCTCTCCTCTCTCATTCAGACATGAATAAAATAAAATAGGAATTTATAAATATTCTCATTCTCAGTCTTCTAACTGTTGGGGTTAAAATACAGCTATAAATTATGGATATTCTCCATTGCATATATTTTGAACTATTATTAGATGTCATCTAACTTTCTGTTTGTTGAAAAGTTCCTATAGCTTTTTGTGGAATATTTAATATTTACCTACATGTTTCCTTTTTCTGAAAAACAAATCAACCCACTATTTCCTTTAATTTATGGAAGTTATTTGATTTGAACCTAAATAATATTTAACTAATTGAGATAATGTATGTATTATTTTGAGATTATAAGAGTGCAAGTGTTAGTGTTTTGTTTTTGTTTTAAACATCTAGCATGTAATATTAGCCTTTGTCTGTTTTATTAAGAAATATTACAACCATTTTATTATTAAATGCCAATGGGAAAAAAATCCCTGAGACATGCAGAATTGATATTCTGTTGTAATAATAAGTAAATTTTGTTTTAAAATCTGGCTGCACCTTGAATTTATTTTTATCAGAATATTTCAATAGCTTCTTTACTTGACTCATATTTATGTGAAGTTTATTTGTAATAATTGTGTTAAAGCATTTTATAAAAATTAAATAAAAACTAATAGAACATAAATGTTAGTTCTATTTCTTATAAGTTTCTTACAGTTTTGTTTTTAATACTTTGCCACTGCTGGGACAATAATGTCTATAAAAGTTTTTATGTACACAGATTTTATTAGTGAGACAGAAATCTATTCTTAATCTACAATGAGGATTAACATCAACTATTTTAGAATTGGTTTAAAAAATGTGGAAATTCACTTTTTAAAGTTTTTAAATTTTGTTTTATTTCAGCATATTACAGAAGTACAAATATTTAGATTACATATATTGAAATTACATATATGTACTTATTTTTCAAATAGCTAAATTTAACATATTTTTATGTTTCCATATGTATTTTTAAAATATTTCAGAGTTTCAAAATTATTATTTTAGGCTTACATTATCAAGAAGTATACTCTTTTTATCTATAAAATATCTTAGTCTTTGAACTAAATATAGTTTCATGGTTGGAAAGTTTCTTTTTGTCAATCTCAGGCAACTGCTTCTAGCATGCAATTTGTCATCTGAGAAGTAAGTGGTGCATGGCCCAGGTGTGAAGTGAACTGATGGAGAATTATGAATCACCTAGCAAGAAGGAGAACTCCAAGGTTGGTTTGAAATATCAAGGAGACCTATGCTCTCAGGAATCATGGCCAGTATTACAGAAACAGTTCACATAAGGCATTAGTGATAACAGTCCTAAGAAATGACAAAAAGCTATCATTCCAGTTTAAGATTTATAGAATTTGCAAAATATATTTCAACAAATACTAAAATACTATAAATACTAAATACTGCAACAACAGAATGGTAATGTTTTTAATTTTAGTTTTTGTGGAAAATCAAATAATTCAGAAATACAAATAAAATGAAGGATACATAGAAGAAGTAATATATATGTAAAATGCACAAAATAGTTTCAATATTTACCAAACAGAATTCAGAATAGTTTACAGAATTTTAAAAAAAATCAATAACAGCCATTAGTGAAGCATGAGATATTGAATAATTCAGATGGAATTTAGTAGAATTTCTGTTTAGGCATGCTATATATCTTGGACTGTAACTACCATTTTAAGATTGTAGCCAATTATTTTATTTATTTTTTTGCACTTCCAAAAATATGTTCAGCATTTATTTATCCTGTTGAATATTGATTAAAATAATAAACATATGGCCTTATCACATTTTTAAACTTTGAAATTCTCTGATGAAGTAAGTGCTGAGGTTTATTCCATTTGGGTTCCTGTTATGGGTACTTTATACTACAATATTGACTTTGGTTGTGAGCAGTTCTCCTGGTCGAATTGATTTATGATACACTCTGTTTCTATCCAGACAGTTTCCAGTGAAGTGACAAAGAAGTTCTGCTTCCATACCCATCTAATCAATGGAAAGCAAAGCAAGACCAGACAAAACAAAACCCTTTATACAAGGTGACTGGATACTAAATGTCAAGCTGTTTATACTTTGTGTGAGAATAAATAGCAGAAGTATATTCCTTGTTAATTGGTATTCTTATGTGCTTTTCAAAAAATCAATTTATATATGGTACTAAGACTATAAAAAAACTGTTGTTGTATTAAATAGCTTATTTAAAAATAAATAAATGTCTCTATATTAATCTTTTATGTGAACATTAATACTTCCACATGTAGTACTTACTTTCATATTTATGAGAATATAGAAATTTAAGCATTTTAAAAACTAAATAGTAATTGAATAGTGAGGGAAATAAGTATTCATATAGGAAAATGACTAATGCAACTTATTATTTTGCTAAATTGAAGAAGACCAAAAATGCTCTTGGGGTTTCCCAATTTGATGAATAATTACTGATTCTAATATATTGCAGATTGAATAAATCTATGATTTTGGAATCTCTTTTATTTACTCTAGCTTCAAATTACATTCATATAAACCTAACTACATTTTGAAGTAAATAAAAAACACAATGCATCACATAATACCAGAAACATGTTATGTATTATCTATCTGTATATTCTTAGATACTTAGTAATGTGGAACATTGTGCCTAGAAAGTAAAACCTATGGGGGGAAGTACATAGATGACAAGGAATGCTAGAAAGGTAGAGCTAAGTCAGATTTTTGTGAGTCTTTTATGCTATAATGAACCCTAAGGAAGACTAGCTTAATTAAACAAGAAAATAAATGATATATCTGCATTTGTTTAAGAAATATATCTGGGTACAATGTAGTAAGGGAAGGCACTGGAAACAGTGTGAGTAGATAGAATACTATTCCTGTGGTGCAAGGAATAATTGAAAAACCTTTGGGATGGGCAGTGACATAGAGAATGAAGAAGAGGGAATAGATTTGTGGGGCATTTTGAATAGAGTTTTAGGACTTGATTACTGATAGAACATGGGTGGTGAAATAGAGGAATGAGTCAAAAGTATTTCTCTGATTTCTAGTTCAAGTAAGTAAAAAGATTGAAATGCCATTGTTGAGGATATGGGAAAAAAGAAAGAACATCTGGCAGGTGGATAAAGGATTTAAGATATAGTCAATCATAAGATTTCTTGATTTCTAACATAATTCATGTTATCTCTATAGAAATAAACTATCAGCATAGCATCATTCCTCATAGGATATAAACTGGCATCCCTGTGGCAGATTGATTACATGACACAACACCCCTCATTATAATAACAATTATCCACTCAAGGATAGACTCATATTTTGGGTATTGATTTGTCTCCTTTGCATATAGCACTTCTGTCACTACTATCATTCATAGATTTATAGAACATTGTATACAGCATGAGGATATTCTACATAAAATCATTTACCAGGAGATTTATGTGAAGGATAGTGGGACAGCATACTCTCATGCATGAAATTCACTGGTCTTATCATGTGTTCCATTAACTAGCAGCATCTGATTTGAAAGAACAGTATAATGGTTTTCCATGGGTTCAGTTAGGGCAACAGGTAGCCAATATGATACTGTTACATTGGAATTTTAGCCTAGAAGATGTGGCGTTTGTGTAAAATCATGAGCCAATATATGATGCAGTCTCCTCCATAGCCAGAAACAAAAATCCCAAAACCAACAGGAGAGATAGGAGAGGCCTCTCTCATTATTATATTTAACAACCTATTTGAGCAATATTAGCTTCCTATTCCTATGACATTGGATCTGTGCTTGTAGGTCATAGTACCCAAAGGAAGCCTGCTTCTATCAGGAAACCCTGTAAAGATTCCAATAAATTATAAAATGAAAGATGCCCTCACCATCTGACAATCCTCCTCAACCAGATTAAATAACAAATCAATGTGGAACCTACAGTGGTGATTGATCCTGATTGCTGGGGAAAATTGTGTTGTTCATACATATCAGTGACAAGAAAACTATTTGGAAATCAGAAGGAATTCACTGGGATCCTTCCTAAAACTCCCTTTCCTAATAGTTCTGGTGATT